CACTGGTTATTTTTCTTCTGAATGAAGCTTGCATGCGAGGACTTTCTCCCTGGTGAAGCACGAGCGGACCTTTCACGCTGCAGGTGACCTGCTCCCGCGCCTGGCCCGGCGGGACCCCTTGTCCTCCCTCACCCGCCCCAGTCAGAGCTGCAGGGCTGTGCTTGTCCAGCACCCGGGAGCGGCTTCGGTCCTCCGGCTGCCTGCTTTGCTGTCCCCCTTCTCTGGCAGGTTCCAGCGGTTGTTTCTGCTCCGGCCATTGCAAAGTCACATCGGGTTTGAGTGGTCGGCACATCACCCCGTTTTTTCCCATAAGCCCCGTTACCTTCATTGGGCGATTTTGTAGAATATGAAGGGGGCTTCTTCAGGAGCAAACTATCATGTCTTCACAGAAATGTCCAATGTCTTTCAAGTGCTGCAAAGGCAGCAGCAGCCGAGCAAAGACAAGCGCAGGAACCGGCAGGGGCCCGGACCCCGAGCTGCGGGGTCGCGCCCAGGGAGCGCCTCCTCCCGCCCTCAGCACCCGGAGTGGCGCGTGGTCCGCACCTGCGTGGCGCAGAAATGGCGTCTCTGCGTTTCCCCTCGCGGAGAGGTGACTCGGCCTGAGGCGGGGACGGCTGCGTCGGCTCCTGAGCACAGCCGTTCTCGTCACTTCCTTTGAAATGCAGCATGGAGCTGCTCTGATTCTCCCGGCTTCGCTCCCACCTCAGCACTTCCAACCCTGCCCCCCCAAATTCCTGTGTTCCTCTCTTTACTGAGCCTGGCTACATCCCAGCCTTGTTTTACTACTGTGTGTGTGTGTGTGTGCATGGGTGTGTGTGTGTGTGTGTGTGTGTGATCACGTGTGTCCCCGTGTATTCACATACATGTATGTTGGTGGTCATGTATGAGTGTGCACGTGCATTCATGTGTGCGCTGTGTACTTGTGTGTGAGTCTGGGTGTGCACCTGTGTGTGTGTGCTGGTGTGCTTTGTGTACACCCAGGTGTTCACGTCTGCACATGTGTGGTGCATACTTTGTGCATCCATGTGTTCCTGCACATACACAATTGCATCGTGTGTGCTCGTGTGCACATATATGTTCACGTGTGCCCGTCTGCCGGTGTGCTTGTGCTGTGTGTGCAAGTGTGTGTTCATGTCTTGTGTGTTGTCGTGTTGTGTTGCAGTTGTGTACAGGTGTGTGCTTGTGTGTGCCATGCAGGGTGTGGCGTTTGCTTCTGTGTGCACATTTGTGTGTCATGTGTGTCGTGTCGTGTGTGAGCTCAGGTGTGTCCGTAGCGGCCCAGCGAGCTCCCGGAGGGCCGGGACTCTGTTCGCTTCACCTCCCCCGGCAGCCCCGCCCCAGGCCAGTCCCGAGATGCGCCCGTGCTGAGTGCTGGCGGCGAGCAGCCCTCCCTAGCGCCGGCTCCTCTGGGCCTCTGTGACGCATGTCTGACAAGCGTGTTCTGTGAATTCCAAGCCCGTGGTGGGAGGACACAGCTCCGCATTACAATTTTCCCGTAGCGCCGTTATTGGAAAAATATTCCGGGGAAGAAATAACCAAAAAGCAAAGAACACCTCGTGTGAGATATTTTATTCACCTTTGTAAAAAATGAATAAGCAGCAGACAGGAATTAATTAATTTGGCTACTCCTTTAGTGCCTGCTTCTCGTCCCCAGGCCCCGGGGGTTGTTCTTTTCCAAGGAAACACAGTTCAGAACAACCCTCAAGGCGACGCCTGCTTAGAGGGGCTTGCTGACGGCCGGCGGGGTCCTGCTTCCACAGCCGGGGCGTGTGCCCCCCACTGGGGCAGCGAGGTGGGCTCAGTGGAGTTGGGGGGACACGCGGGCTCGCCGGGCCTTTCCTGCAGGGGAGAGCCCGGTGTCTGCTCAGGGTCTGGCTGAGTGGAGAGGCCGGGGGCGACGGGTGTCAGGACCACGGCAGGGCGCGGAGACTGTGGGGCGGTGTGCAGAGGCGGGCGGGAAGAGAGGACACGGCCCCTCCAAAGGGCCACGTGGCCACATGGCAGAGGCACTTTATCACGAGGGAAATGGAAAGGCGTCGAGGTTTTACATGGAGGACTGATGCCATCACTTCGTCACGGTCACTTTGTCGGGTGCCTGAACCGAGGGGTCGTGCCCACAGCAGCTTTCATCAGCACCGCCCAGGACCCCTCTATTCTGAGCTGGGAACACGTGCCTGTTATGTAGCCACCATAGAAAAACCTAACTGCGAACAGCTAATGCTTCTTGAAGCTTCCTAGGTGTCAGACACTGTCCTAAGTGATTTTTTAAAATGTGCTAACTCATCTTCACGAGAAGGAAACTGGCCACACAGCGAATCAGCGGTGGGGCTGGGGCCTGGAGCTGTGTATTTGCGTCCAGTATTCGTGCTTATAACCGCAGACTTCTCTGCCTGCTGGTCACCCCCAGCCCCAATTCCAGCTGAACTCTCTGAGTCACCACCCACTGAAATCCTGAAGTCACCACAGATGCTGACAGAATACAGGACGGGAAGGGAGGCCCAGGCCCAGCAGGGAAGAAAACACAGCCGCTCTGGGGGACACGGAATGACCGGGACAGAGGTGACCGACACGGAGAGCTAGGAGAAAAAGGGTTAGTCAGGGGATGTGACCCTCAGAGGGGCAGAGCCACAGCGAGCGTGAGCGCCAAGCCTGGGGTGTTCTTTAATGTTCCAGAAATGCTCTGATATCTTCATCATCATCAGTGGGATCATCCTCGGGTTCCAGTCACGCCTTCAAACTGTGGATGCGGAGCAAAGACCTGCGGTAGTAGAAGGCGGCACCTGGGAGCCAAATGCCCGGGGGTGTCACTTCTGTGTGGGGTACAGAGAAACAAAGCAGGGGCCCGCTTCCCTGGGAAGCAGGTGGGCTGCTTACCATCTGAGGTTAAGCCCCGCCCTTAATTCTTAATTGCTAATTCTCAGTCTAGGGGTGTCAGTCTTCTGTCGCACCACAGAAAGGACCTGGCCACAGACAGGGTGACTTTATCAGTAAAAATGGGAGATGTCAGCTGGGTTAGGCCTGCGTCCCCCACTGGCTTTGGGGGTCCTGAGCTACTTTTCGGCTGACATCTCTCAGCTTGGCAAGGCACTCTCCTTCTCCCTGTGAGTGATGAGGTGCCTGTCCTAACCCCCCCTTCTCACAGGGACACCCACACCCGTCCCATTGCAGGGGCCCCACCCCCTCCGCGCGACCCTGCACCAGCCGACCTCCAAATGAAGGCACATTCTGGGGGCCCGCCACCCCCTTTTAGCAGCCAAAGCAGGACTTACTCCCATCCCCATTTTAAAGACAAAAAGCTGAGTCTCCCGAAGCCTTGTTCACACAGCCAGGTCTGCGCTTCATCCAGGAGTCGGGGGGCGGGGAGGGGGGTCCTCACCTGGAGTTTGCTCAGCTCTTCTCACACACTTGGAACAGTAAGATCTAGGGTTTCACTGAGGAGGGCAGAGAGGGCAGCTGTCCAGGAGGCGTTCTCTTGAAGTCATTGGCAGCAGGTATACTGTTAAAAGCATCATTTTGCTTATTGAGTGGCGCCCTGGGGCCACACCTCGAGGGATCTGACCCCCCAGGGGAACTGTTTTCTCAAATTGCTTCTTGTAAGCCTGTTTGTCTCTGATGGATTCTCTGAGCCAAGGGGAACAGGGACAACAAACCTATTCAGGAGAAAGTGAAGTGCCTGCAGGTCCTTCTCTCTGTGACATCTCCCTCCGCCTGCCAGCCTTTCTTTTGTCCTGTCTCTCAAATAACAGAGGTGTGGGGACCTGTGAGTCGCCTGGGCCTGTGGCCAGGTCAGCTGATGACGGCCGCCTGGGGCAGACGATCTCCTCTGGTACTGGCTTTGCCAGTGAGCCAGCTGGCTCAGCCCAGGTCGCTCTCAGGGCTGAGGCCGAGACCCCTCCCGGTGGGGCCCCCAGGGCAGACAGGGGGCTTGCTCCAGGGTGAGCCCCGCCCTGAAGAGGCAGCAGATTCTACCCCAGGCCCAGCACGAGGGACCTGCGAGTTCAGGGGGATGCTTCGGCCCCGTGTCATCTCCTCAGCTGCACACTGCAGAGGCTCGCGCGCTCACTCTCAGGTGACTGTTACGGCGATGCGAGTCCTGGTGTTGGCTAACAACCCCTCCTTCTGGGGAAGCCCAGACACCGCCTGTGACATGACAAGATGTGCATGGCAGGTGCAGGTCAAGAGGCCAACAGCGGTGACGGCTGGGTGCTGGGATTGTGGCAGAGTTGAATTCTCATGTGGGCTCATTTGCATGTTCCGAACTTCTGTATTGCTCTTCTGACAAGCTCCCCTGGGGTCCACACCGGGCAGAGGAAGGGGAGCTCCACAGAGAGGAGCCAGGACCGCGGCCCGTCAGGTGTTTGGTGACCATGGAGGAGACAGGAGCTCAGCCTCGGAGGGACAGTCGGGGACGCCAGGCGCTAGTGGACCCGGCTGTGTGGGGGTGGCCATTGGCACCCACCTTCTCCAGCATTCTGCTGAGTCTCTCCCTCTGGAAGGGGAAGGTCAACGACACAGCGTGGAATACTCATCACGCTCATCACCTACCCAAGAGCCCCAGGGACGGGAACGGAACTGTCGGGGTTCCTTCCTAAAATGCCCAGCTCTAGGGGGGGCTTTATATTTTTTTATTTATTCAAGCATGCAAGTACTGGGGTACAGGCCAGAGGTGTGGGGGATGGTAAGAGGATTCCCCAGAGTGGGGAGCACAACAGGCAGATCTACTGAAACACACTGCTGAGGGGAGCAGCGGGGAGACAGGAGGGGTCTGCTGCGCCCTGGGGGTCCCTCCCTGCCTCCCTGGCCAGGAGTGAACTCGTGCTGCAGTGGCTGCGCCCAGCTGCTGACTGCTGTGCTTTAACCCGCTGCACTGATCTTGGGAACAAGCTGAGAGGGTCTCTGCGTCTCCTCTTCCAAAAGCTGGGTGAGCGCCCCGGTGGCGAGTGCCGTGCCAAATGGAGAAGTAATTTCCTCTCTCTCTCTCTCTCTCTCTCTCTCCCTAGCGTTATTAGCATCATCTTTATTCTGGCTGGAGCAATTGCCCTCATCATCGGGTTTGGTATTTCAGGTATGTGGGTTCTTATGTGGGTTCTTGCCTTCCTGTGATCCCTTCACCCCTCACCAATAAGCACCCCCATTATCACACACTGTGGCAGCCAGAAAGAGCGCGG